TAGAACCTTTGGCAAAGCTCAAAATGTTTAGTGGCAGGACTTGTAATTAATTAAGATCCTCGAGAAACGGGGCTCCTAAAGTATTGAGTCAATTCTGTGCATGAGCTGGGCAAAGACAGAGCAGATGAGAGGCACTCTCATCGTATTCCCCACAGCTGCGACAGATATGATTGAAAGGAAGATTCAATCTCCCGTAAGTAAATATACTATAAGACTGTTAAATTTAAGTATCATCTCAATGAGAATATTGAATTTCCTTTTCGTAGAGTGTGCATACTGATGCATGTATATCGTTAAGTCTTTCCATCTTTCATAAAAAAAGGATAAAGATTCTATTAAATAAGTGTGAAAAATTAAATAAAAAGCAAAAAACTGTATCAAGTTAGCCAGTGAATTCCTTATACATATGTGATACTTGCAGATATAAATAAATAAAAAAATAATATGTTTAAAATTCCGTCAGAACACAAATAACAGCATAATTATTTTTTTATCAAAAGTCTATTTTTTATATCACACATTCAACAAAGTTTCTACTACGATAAATAATAATTAAAAATAATTATAATTTAAATTAATTCGAAACGAACTAGAATTTTGTACGCCATTTCCGATTTTCTATTTCTTAGCAAAAACATAACCGCAAACAAAGCAATAAAATTTAATATTTCTGAAAGTGTATAATCACACCTCATCGTGTGTGTTCCCTTTCCTTTTCGTTCATTGTAAAAAGCGTTTCTTGTGTGAAGCATATTTTTTTTAGTGTATTTTCGTAACATGTGAGCGTAATTGAGTGAAATCGCGCCCTGTCGGCCATTTTAACGTTAAGCTTTGCTTTAATGCCAATCAACCTCGATTTTGTTTCCAAATAATTTCTTAGAGAATTTAAATTTTTTTTAGATAAATTTTGATTTAAAATTTATTCATTAATTTTCGTGTGTGTTTATAACCTCGTTTACCATTTGTGATATTCGTGTATTAGTTTTTTTAATGTATATATAATGTATTTATAATATAATTTATAAATTGCAAATACGACATTTAAGTGCGGTGCTGCGTAAAATTATTTTATATTGTTTTTATTATATTATTTTATAACATTTTATGTGTTCAATGATTGAAATGTTATGTGTGCGTGCTAAACTATTTTTGCAATTGTTTATATATTTTTTCAAATATTTGCATTATTTCACTATTATAAATTATTAAATGCACATATCTTCATATGTATATATATACATATATTTATGTATACATGTACATGTACCTATACATATACATATGTGTATGTAGTTGTGCTGGGGATTTTGGGTTCTTTATTTGGTATATATCAGGTGGGTTTTATTATATTATGTTTTTTCTGGTTAAGTAATAAATTTTCTAATTGATTATTTACTGTATTCAGATTATTAATATTTTCATTTTCATTTAATTTTTGTTTTAACTCACTAATTATTTTAAGTTCTTATACATAAACAAAAGTTATTAGCTTCCGTTTTCTTTTTACTTTTTTAACAGTATCCTGTTTAAGGATTAAGCTCTTTTGTTATTTCTGTATTAATTCATATAATTTTAACTATTTTTTAAAGTTTTAAGTAAAGAAAGAAATTATATATAAATTAAGTTCTAAGTCTACAGTTACGAATAGTTTAATAATTTTTTTGTTTATTTTTTTAGTTATTTTTTTCTATACTAGTTTTAGGTATATAATAATAGAAGTCCTTAGTAGGAGATAGGGGAACCAGGGAAGGGTAGGAAGTTAAATAATTGTTGTGGTTCTGTTTTTTATGTGTTCGCTTTACGCGGAGATACTCCGACCTTTTTCTTATGTTGATTTTTGTTTTATTGGCAGTGTTGTTTTGATTAAATCTTACGAGAATTTTGTTTGAATCAAAATGAAAATATATTTTACATTGACTTATTTTTATTTGAAAATCTCTTTTTTTTTTTTTATTTTACATATTTTGAATACTTATATATTGAGTTAGTAACTTGTTTTAATACTTTCATTTCTGATTAAAATAAAAGATTTTAAGTTTACATTTATAAATATATTTTGTTATTTATAACTGAGCAACTATTATTTTAGTATTGAGCCTATTTCGACAGTTATTATCTTCAATAAATTTATCAAAATGATAACATTTTGGTTATAATTTAAATGAGTTAAATAAAATGATTCAATTTAAATTTAAAAATGATTTATTTGGAAAAAATATAATAATTTGTTTATTGACAAAAATAATATACATATATGAACTTATTAAAAAAAAAAACAAGCATATTATTTATCTTATTAAATCAGTTTTAATGGATATTGTAAATTATGTGTGTATCTATGTGTGTATATTATTAAATTTTAGTTTATTTATAATATAATCATGGAACAAAATTAATATATTTTTGAATGAGTTAATTGATCAATAATAATATAATAAAAATATAATAATAAATAATATTTCAGTATATACGTTATAATAATTATATAATATATATATATATATATATACATATATCTACAAGCTTTTTAAATTAGTTTAAAAAAAATGTTCTATTTGCACCGATATTCCGACTATAGTCTGTAGTCATTTTCTTTTTTTTGAATAAAAATATTTTTCGAAACTAATTTAAAAAATTGTTTATTATTTAATATTGACCAATTATCCCGTTCAAAAATATATAAATGAAATTTGGTCATTAACATAAGAAATTGTATAATAAAATTTAAATTCCTCTAAAATAAAATATATATATCTAAAATCAAATTTATACTTTTATTAAAAATAAGATAAATAAATCTTTGAAAAGACCTTTAAAAGCAACAAAAATAGTTATTTTTCTAGGATCTAACCAAAAAAAAATTTTAAAAAAAATATTAGCTATATTAATTAATCTAAAACAATTTTAATGAAGATCTGCTGGTACGTATACCAAGACAAAATAATTACATGGTTATTAGACACCTTCACTATAAGTAAAATTTTAACTAAATTTGATTATTTGAGTGAAATAATATGTATTCCAAGTCTGCCTAATTTAGTATCTTTGCTTTAATTTTAATCAATATTATCCAGGAGCTAAACACAAATGGGATTTATGTAGCTTTTTTATTTTACAGAGTCATTTTAACATTGAATATCTATCCACTAAAGACTTTTTATTGAGCCAAAGTCTATTGTTGAAGGGAACTATTTCGCCTCCCTACCAAGAGTGTTCAACTAAATTCTATTACTTTAAAAATTCTTAAGTAAAATCTTGCTTGAATTAATTGGCGAATCTAATGCTAACGTTGAACATTGGAATAAAAGTATTATGTTCCTAATATAAAATATATAGAAAGTTTTAAGCTTTTGTTCTTAAATTAAATCAGGAATAGTAAGCGTAGTCAATGGAATCATGAAAAAGAATTTTTAAAAATTACAACTTACAAGCTTCAAACTTACAAACCACAAATTTAAAAAGTCTGCGAATCAAAGATCTATTCAAATGATTAATTTGAGAATTAAGTTACTCATACGCCAAGATGGTCCTGTTTAATTTTAATGCTGAATAATATATATTTTTAATTAAGAATGAAAAACACAAAAAGTGTTACTTGCTTTTCTTTTGCGTCTAACCAATAAATTCATTTATATATTTTCTTGCCTTCGATATATATTAGGTAACTGGATTTAGTATTATCCAAAAAAACATTTTTAACTCGGAAATTTATGAGCTAACCAATGCTAAAGCAATAAAAATAGCTTTAGCTCAAATAGGTCAAAAATAAACACTATGTAAAACTTTTAAATCTACACATATCTATTCACACGTTGTTTTTTTAAAAAAAATTATTTAGTTTATAAGAAATTTTTAATTTTTTAAAGTGTAGTTGTAATCATCGTAAATCTTTTAAAAATAATTATATTTTTTTTTAATATTTTTTATATATATTATTTTGTTTTTTGAAAAACTACGGAGTCTTATGCCATTTAGGTCTAGCATTACCACCATTATCAATCACATTTTTCTACATGGCAGACACCCTTCTGCATGAATATTGATAACCCTCAAAAAATAAACTAACCTTAAGGATAGCATCTAGCATCTAGAGATAGTGGATCCACTTTGTTAAAAATTTGGATACTTCGCCAATGCCAATGGCATAATATAAGGATAAAATATTGTTTAAAATTGAAAAATTATTAAAAACTAAAATAAAGTGTAAAGTAATAATAACATGTCAAATATATATCTGCGCTTCAGAAAAAATAAAATAATACATTTATGTTAAAAGGTTGAGCAGAAGTGGATTGCTTCTGAGGTAGGCCGTTTTTTTTTTTGTAGATTTTCAAATATTATAAAATAGTCAATGTATTTTGAAATAAGCAAGTCGCGAAGCTGAAGCAAGCTATGAGTATCTCAAATTAAGAAAACACCAATCTCAGCGTTAACACAATCAACAATAAAAACTAATAATCTTTCTGGGAAGAAGGATCTAACTAGAAAAGCTAAGCATTGTGAATTTTGAGAGTACAGGCGTGTGAGCAATTTTTTTTTTGTTACTTTTTCTTTTTCATTTTCTTTTCTTTTACTTTAGCACATTTAACTGAAATTTTCGCATTTTGCTTTGCAGATGAATGATGAAGATTTGCTTTCTCTTTCCAAACAAATTCGAATTCGAATTCGATTTCGTTTTTTGTTCCTTAATCTTTGTTCTTCGTTCTTCGTTCTTTGTTCTTTGTTCGAGAATCCATTGTTCTTCTTCAAATGATTACTGGTAAACGGAATTATAATCAGTTTTGGTGTGTCTGTAGTGGTGTTGATCTTGTTGTGTCGTTCGTGTTGGCGTGTGATCACGTGTCATTGTTGTTGCAGATGCTGTACTTCTTGTTACAGTTGCAGTTGTAGTTGTTGTGATTGTTGTTGTTGTTGCTGTTGTAGTAGTAATTGTTGTTGTTGTCGTTGCTGCTGTAATAGCAGCTGTTGTAGTTGTTCTTGTTGTTGTGTTTGTTGTGTGCGTGTGTGTATAGTGTGTCCTTGTATTGTGTTGTGGCAGTGGTGGTGGATTTTTAGCTCTTGTTAACGGAATTGGTGTTGGCATTGGTTTTGGCGATGTCGATAAATCGATCCCCCATTCATAAAGGAACTCCAATTTTTGTCGCTCCAAAGGATCACTAGCCGGCAGGGCAAGCAAATGTTAGGCTTCTAAGAATATCAATGCTGTTGGTTTCGGTTCCAAATTTGATTTTTTTGCTTCGACAACTAAGAAGGTTATTTCAGCCTTTTCACGATTTGCAAAACATTCGGCTATTAGACGAGCAACTTCCTACATTTATAAAGAAATAGAAAAACATATATATATTTAGATTGATTTTATAATTAATTTGTGTTTTGAATTAAGTTAACCTGATGATGTAGACCTTCGACTTTATTGCCGTCTACTTCCAGTATAAGTTGCCCAACTTCTAGTCCGCCCGCTTCAAATGCTGCACCATTTTCCTTTTATCATAAAAATTTTATTTTAAAAATGTAATTATAAGTGAAATGATTTAAGAGTTTTACTTACATGGATATTTATAATCCTCGGAAGCGGATGTTTTGTATTAGCACCACCTTCGATAGCTATACCTAAAATAGGTTTAGTTTTCTTAACAGTAATGTGTAAGTTGCCTCTATGATCAGGTACGACGTTTGGATTGTGTTCATGTGTTTGTTCAGTCGTTGAACCGTTCTGTTGCTCCGCTGATAGTCGTTGCATGGACTGAAATTTATTTAATATTAAACTAAATGCATAAGATAAAAAAAATTTTAAATGTATCTGTTTTTTTGGCGTAGAATATTATTGCTAATACGAAAAGAATCAAGTATAGCTATGTAGGCTATATAAAAGCATTAACACTTAAGCAACAAAATTTATTTTAATAAATCTGTTATTATTATTTAATACATAATAGTGATTATAATAATGTTTTTTATAAATTCTATTCATATTATAATATTTAATCTAAATATTTTTGTTATATATTTTATGTACTTATGTTAACGACTTAAGTTAATTCTTCTTATTTTTGTGTGATGTAATTCTAGCAATTATAAAAAATTGCACTTCAATTCCGATCTCTCGATAATGCCCATTTAATACAGGATTTTAGTAGAGTCTATCTTTTCGAGCAACCTTTTCCACTGAGCTATATGTCAAGATAGCATACTTCTCTAGAAATTTAATTTTAAAGTTGAAGAAGTTTACATTAATTACATTGATAAAACCTACACCTTTCTATTACAAAATTTTTACATTCATCACATAAACGACTACTTAATCGAGCCAATCTTGGATATAAAAGAATAGTATTCTATTTTTCTTTTTTAAGTCGAAATTTACCTAATATGAATATTAATTTTGATATCACACAGTTATTTATTAATTTTGCAATCGAAAATCTAAACATATCAGTAAGGGTAATTGTGAGCAAGAATCTTTTCATTTTCAATTTTATATCATCAAATAAAAGGCTTCCTTCTGAGATTTATAAATATATATTTGTATAAATTAATATTATACATTTTTATATATATTTAAATAATATGATTTAATATATATGTATAATTACTTATATTATTTGGAAAGACCATGTAATGAAAAGATAATTAAAAAAGTTTTTAAATTTAGTTACATGGAACTATAAGTTATTATAAATATAAATCAACTACATGAATATTGATATTATCATAATTTTTTATATTAATTCTAGAAACAAAAACTCTACATATGACTGTTTAAATTCTACTTCAAGATCTTTAATCATCATTGAACTATTCAAATTAGCATTTTTCAAGTCAGAACATCAAATAATTCCCTTAAAATTTTTTTAAAATGGTAAGTGGATGGGTTAGAAACCATCGAATTTAAATTTAGTTCTTCAATGGATAGATACGAGTAAACCTCTAATATTTGTAACAAATTTTTATAATCCTAACGCAATGTGTTTTATTCATGATTATTATTATTATTCATAATTATTACCACTAATTCAATATAAGATATATAAGGCAGTGGAACTCTTGGATCACTGTAATAACCTCACATTGCCGGTAATTAATTATTTATAATTAGAGTTCTAAGAAATAGTTTGCAATATATCTAAAGAACTGCCAGAAACTTTAAAAGTTATAATACTTTGTTATTTTTAACTAATTTCTGACTTGTTGATTATTTCTACCAGAATCCTTCGGAAGGAGGTTAACTAAATAAATAAATAACAACTAAATAAAAACTTATCTTTGGTAAAATTTAGTGGGCAGCTTAGATAGCGAGTAAGAAAAAAAATACACTGCTATATAGGGCCTACAAAAATTTTTAAGAGAAAGTCAAATGTTTAGTCTAAAATTTTCTAAATACTCTTTAAAGAAATAGAAAAATTCGACCACTTTTAGTTTGCAATTTCATAGTATTTTACGCGACAGCTTAAATTTATTGTAAAGAAACCTCTAATAAGAATATTAATCTTATAATAAAAAAAAAATGATAATCTTTTAAAATCCAAAACAGACGTGATTTTTAAAACTTAGAAAGATATTAAATCGTAATAGATATGTATACCCGGATTTTGTAAATAAAACACAAATTTAAATTTTATTCCAAATTTATTTTATCTCCTTCAAAATATGCTCCTTCTGAAGCGATACACATATGCCAACGCTTAACCCAATCTTCCATACATTTTTCGTAGGCCCGTGCAGGTAAGGCTTTTAGTTCCTTCAGCGAATTCTCATTTACCGATTCAATCGACTCAAAACGCTTACCACGAAGGGGCAATTTGAGTTTCGGGAACAGGAAAAAGTCGCACGGCGCCAGATCTGGCGAATATGGTGTCTTAGCGATGACAGTAGTGCCGTAGTTGGTCAAAAAATCGCGTACAACAAGAATTTTCCATAGAAAAAATCGCTAAATGCACTTGATGTAGTCTCACATTAACTGCTGCTGTAAACAAACTAATTGACAGATGGCGCACAAATTTGTACCATACGTCAAGAAAGGCTGTACTAACATAACAAAACTTTTTGAAAAAGGTCTATTACGTAAGGAGTAGTTAACAAACAACAAAATCCGGATACTTTTTGAGCAGATGGTATAGTTTTGATATTCAGATGTCTGAGTTGGTGAATCAGCACCTTTACTCTATTTTATCTGTGGACAATTTTAAGTCACACTAAATACGGGGCTTTACGGGGCTTTATAATATGATGGATCTGATATCTTTGTATCTGCCTGTGTTTATCAAATTTCGCTGTATTTTTAGGATACTGAGTGTTGGATTATTGTGACTGTCAATTGTATTGAATAGTTTCAGAGCACGATCTTTAATGTATTTTTCAACTGAATCCACTCTCAGATCTCTGTGGATATCAGCTCCTCTTACATACCATGGGGCGTTAACCAGTTTTCTTAAGGCAATATTTTGCCCTCTTTGAAGAATTTTTAAAGTTGAGCTTGGCGCTTGGCAAAACGCTATACTGCCATAGAGTAGTCCTGGTTTGATAATTTGCTTAAATATGCTAACTCTATTCTTTATGTTGAGCTTTTTGCTGCTGATGAGCGGGTGAAGGGAGTGTAATATTCGGGCAGCTTGAGCTCGTTTGGACTTGAAATGTGCTTTCCAGGAGTGCTTGTTATCAAAGGTTATGCCTAGGTATTTGAGAGTATCGGCCCATTCTATTTCTTGTATAGTATGTCCAGTAAAAATATTTTTAGTTAAAATATTTTTTTATTAATTTAAGATTTTGAAGTCAGCCCAAAAATATGTTTTAATTTTTTACTCTAATTTTATACATATTGCCTACATAATGAACATGCATTCTTCGTTCCATTTACTTAGATAATGAAGATTAATAAATTTTTTAACAGATTAGAATACTTCAACACTGGTTGTTTTAAATATTTTCAGCAAATTTTATGACCTAACAACGCTAATCTTTTAACAATGCTTTATGATCTAACAATAGGATAGATTTCATTACCAAGTCTGCAACAGACTGTACGTGATGTAGTATGATTCCATTTCGTTAACCTAGAGCTTTTATTTCAATATTTTATTTTCTTTTGTATGGAGTTTTCATAATACATGTATGCTTGATTCAAAAGTTAAATAAATTATTTTAATCAATTAACCAATTCACAAATTACAAATTTTATGAGACTTATAATATTAGTTTCTGATAGTTCTTTGGGGACCCCAACAAAACCTAATTTTCTTAAAATAAACATTTGTACAATAGATGATGTTAATTCTTCATCTTTTTCTTGGAAGGCCTGTTTATTATATAAAAATTTTTGTTTTAAGAATTATTTAAGTAAAGATATAATAAAATATTAAGAAAAATCTCATAGAAAATATAAATAGAGTAAAAAATATTTAAAATATTAAAAAATTCATATTTAAAAAGAGAATATTGATTTAGGTTTAAACTTTATAAGGAAATATTTTTAACTTCTCTTTCAAAGCATATGAATTATTTTTAATAAAACATAGATATATTATTTATTTTTAAATATTTTTGTGCTTAATAATATACATACTAAGGAAACGAGAAAGCTTACAGTTAGCCCGCTCTGGTGCTTCCCTGAATGTGTCACTAGAGACCATTAAGAAAAGTACCTTCCTCTACTTTCTGCAACTTGTCAATAACAAATGGAAAGCACTTAAGTCATATGCAACTTCCAGGTTAACATAGCCTACTTATAATAAAAATAAATTCTCGGAACTCATCAAAAGAGACCGCGTAAGCACTGTTCTTTCTGGTCATTGGTATATGGGAACCCACGCAGAGAAACTGCGCATTCCTCATCCTTACTGCAGAAATTGTGAAAACCCGCAGGAAAAATAAACCATAATACATTTTCTCTGTAAATGCCGAGCTTCGGGGTTCAGAACATATAGGTTCTTAGGAAGATACTTCTTTGATAGTTTATCATACTGTTTATTGGTGAAGACGAAAGACCTATTAAATTATCTAAATTCGTCGGGATGTCTTTATTTAGTCTTTACTCTTCTATACTAGAGTTATTGCTTGGAATATGGTAGTAAAATAACGAAAAATCGCTCATTTAGGTATATGGAAGTTATCTGATAACCTGTCACTGTAACCAACGAACCAACCAATATGCATATTTGTTTTTTAAATGTATTTGTTTTAAATTTTAAATAATATTCTTAATAATATTTTGAATATTTTTTAAAATATTTAATATAATATAATAATATAATTCAAAACTTTTGTTTTTTAATTTTGCATATTTTGTAATATCATCGTTGTTTTTAATACCTACATATGATATAATCTAGCTTCATTACTTTTCTACAAAGTTAATTACATATTTTTTATGTTAAATGTAAATAAATTTTGATTTATATTTATGACATGCTGAGTGCTAATATATCTTTTTTATTTAATGGAATTCTTGTATATTTGCATTATCCTTGACCCTTTTCGTATTCATTGTCTTGATGGTTATTTTCTATGCTATATTTAAAATATTGCGAAATTTATTTACTTAACAGTTCATATATGTATGTATATTCCAAAAATTACTGCAGGGTGCCACATTATTTATATTTCTCTATTGGCAAATTTACGAAAAACTAAATAAAATTTTAAGTATAAAGTGAATTTTAGGAATAATTTCAGCAGGCAGTAAGTAAACAAAACTTTCTTTTAAACAAATTAAGGAAAATATTTTTATATAAAACAAAATAAAATTGTGAGGAATATTGAAATGATTCTCAAGCGTTGCCAATTCAATGCAAAAATGTTACTAAGATTTTGTTTTTTAAAAGTTTTAATTTAATTAATAAATTTTTTGATGCAGTTTCGTGTACGTTTGATGAACTGATATGAGAATGAAAACCATGAACATGATCCAATAATAAATTGTTTTTTAAACTTTTGTTCAGTATTCATTGAAAATGAATTAAAATATTTTGAAAATTCATTTTTTTTGTGGTTTTTGCTTAGTTTTAAGAAAGTTAAAAATTCTTACGAAAAAAGTAAATATGATTCTGCTTAAGTTCTTGGCATTTTGAAAAACTCACCTGATGTCTTCGTACACCTTTTTCGCCCAGCAAAGTGCCGCCTTCTTCCTTCATGTCGAAACTTCTTGAGAGTTTTGTGGCCAACTCCTATTTTTTATTTTGGTTTTCATTTTTTATTGGTTTTTAGTTTTTGTAGTTTTTGTATTTTTTGGTGAAATTTTTATACAAAATGTTTTTATTTATATTTGAAATATGTGTAGCAGATTTTAATAAAAATATAACAAAAAGGAATTTTGCATAAAAAATGTGTTTTTAAAAAAGTACACAAACATTTATTTGTTTTATTAAAATGTTTGCTATTGTTTTAGCAAATTTTTTATTGCTGTTTCAAAGCATTTTTCAAGTTTAGTTTGAGATTGTGTTTTTGCAACATTTAGATTTTTATGCAACAACAAATATTCGTGCTAAAATTCAAAAAAAATTTGGGATAATTTTTTTTTTTTTTTATTATAGTTATTAGCTTATTTATTTAGTTAACTCGCTTTAGTTAGAATTTTTAATGCAGACAATTTTGTGCCCATTAAACGCTTATTTTTAAAAATTTTGGAACTTTGCTTTTGATATGCAACAAAATGTTTTAAAATCAAATAATTGATGACAGATATGTTTAAATAAGGGATTGAAAATTATTAGAAATATTATTTTTCGCTAATGTTAAAAAATGTTATGGTACAAGTAGAGATAAGTAAATGATATAGATATCCAGAGTAAGACCAAAATTTATTCATAATTTTCATAAAGCTTTTTCTTTTGCACTAAAAGGCTTTCTCTCACATATGCAATTAGTAGAGAAGTGAAAATTTTATTCAATCATTTTTTTTGGGATGCTAACAATTTAAATCAATGAGACAAAGGAACTATATTTCACATTGAAGAACAGAGAATTTTCTTTCAAAAAAGTCCATACTTAAGGATTGGGCAATATTAGACACAAAAATACAGAAAAAATGTTGCCCAAAAACTTTAAACTGGTTTGGATATCTATATAATTTAGTTATCTCTAATATAACATTATTGAGTCACTGTTTTCAAATATTTTTGTTGAATATTATTTATTCTTTCTGTATCAAACTTTACAGTATATCTATGAAATATCTATGAAAACGTATGTTAAAATGATGCATAATTCCAATATTTAATACACCTCCTATATGTAGCTACATATGAAGAAAAGGGAAGTTAGTGACTTACTAATATATCAAAATAAAATTTCTTAACCTTAAAATAATTAATTATATATTTTATTGGATTTGCGCATTAAAAGTATATTTAGACCTTTACTTGTTTTAAGTAAGTCAGCAATGTTTCGCTAACAAGTGTTTACACTTTAACTTTTAGAGATTAGCGAAAAAAACAAAAACAAAATTTGTTTCCTTTTAATATTCGCCACCACATTTTTTAATTATTTCGAGTAAAGGTTTTTAAAGTATATATTAAAAAATGTATAAAACTTTTGTCCATTTCCTCATTGCTGTATTAAATCAATAATAGATTTTAAGTGAAACATATTTTCATTTACTGCTCTACTTATTTTAATTTGAAAATTATTTTAATTCTGAGCTTTATTCTTTCAGTGTTTTTGTTGAAATTTACCCATTATAATTGCCACAATAGAGTATTCTATGCAGCTATCACTAAGCCAATGGACTTGAAAAAATAAGCACCCTCTTAACTTGCACATTTTTTCAAGAATTTTATGTGGATTTCGTATGGCAAATATTGTATTACTAAACCCTACACGCTTAAGGCTCAGTTAGTCGGTAGGTGCCGTAAGAAATTAAACGAACTTAAGCTAAAGCGAAATGCACAACCAACCACACCTATGTATTTCGCTTTGACTTAAATTCATACGGAACGTACTGACTAACTGAATCTTGACATTTTAAATATATCTTCAATTATTTTCTCATATTCCAAAACTAAGAGATTGTTTATTTAATTAATTTTGCTCCTTTAAATAATTAAATCTAAGTAATATAAAATGCAATGAATTCCTTTTCCAAAAAATTTATTTTCTATACTTTTTTAAAATTAATTTGGAATAGTTTGTTATAAATGTTTAGTTGCAAACATTTTTTATTAAAGTTGTTTTAATGAACAAATAAAAAATTACTTGTTGGTTAATTATTAATTAAACATAATTATTTTTTAAATAAATTTTTACTTCTTTCTCAGGTCAGAGTATTATAATCCTGTTGTTTCAGATAAAAAACATCCACACCATATGTTAAAGTATTTAAGACAAACCTTTTAAATCTAGCACTGTATAAGAATTGTCCTATTAAATTATGTGCAATACAATTGCGATGCAGACCTCTACAAGCATTTAGAATGCTGATGAGCATAGTTCAAAGTGCTGAATAACAGCACCAAAGACTCCAAAATACACTAATGTTTTGTGACGCTTAAAAATTTCAGATAAGAACCTTTGTTCAAACATTTATATGAAAACTAACAAATACTGTTTTTCATTTGTTCAGAAAAAAAACAGTTTTATAAAAAAATTATCCTGACCTGATTAACCTGATAATTTTATAGGCTGCCCTAAAGAATAAATATTTAAAAACTTTTAGAGATGGGTATGATTGCAAAAAACTTTAATATCTTTATATTAACTTGACTATTATAATATTTTCAATATTTTATTTCAATTTTTATTTAATTTTTATTGTATTATATAAAAATAATTAAGAAGAAGGTTAGATAGAATTGTAAGTTTCGACTTGAAGTCGTAGTCTTCAGAAAAAGGCAGAGTAGTGAAATTTGCATGTCGCTTATGAAATGTTTTTGATGTGAAGTGACTGATGCATGAGCGTGTAAATGTAAAGTGAAACTATTGTTTGAAGTAAATTAAATTATTGAGAAAGTCATACTACGAGAGGTTAGAGAAGCGCTAAACTAAAAGACGAATAATACATTAGGTTACATATACTATTAACTACAAGTGAATGATTTAAAAATAAATTAAATAAAATATACAAAAATTAATAAAAATAAATAATAAAAAAAATTCTTTTTTAATAAAACTAAATTAATATAATAGTAATTAAAAATATTACAATTAATATGTATTAATAAAAATGGTTTTGCTGTTTAAATTTATTTAATTAATAAATAATAATTTTAATAGTTATTCGTTTTATTTCAAATAAAATTAAAAACGAAAATAAAAAAATTAAAAAAAAAAACACATGTAAAACAGCAAATCAAATTTATATTAAGCGAAAATATATAAAATAAAATAAAATAAAACAATATAAATCAAGACTTAGTAAAGCTGTATAAAATAATGTAGAATTAACGTTTGCAAAGAACAAAAAATATTATAAAAAAATTGGAAAAAAATTAAAACTAAAGTTATTAGTATTAGATTATATTAAAATAATATTTAACAAAAAAAAAACAATACATAAAGCATTATGTAGTAAAATAAAAGAAACTAAACTAAAATAAAATATAAGAACCAGCTGAGGGCCTTAGTTGCCTTTGCTGTTATTAGCTTTATTTGGTATATTGCGTTTGTCAATATAAAAATAAACACATTTAGGTATATCTAATAATATATAATAAAAATTAAAACAAATTAAAGAAAAATAAAGAAAGCACAATAAAATAAAATAATACCAAAATCAAAATTTTATAATTTTTTTGAAATATGTCAAATGTTAAAAAAAAATTAGCACAAAAATTTTATTAATAGTAAAAATAAAATTAGTAATAAAAAATAAATATATCAAACTTAAGAAAAAATTATTTAATTATTTTTTAATTTTCCAATTATAAAAAATTTATATTTTTAATATACAGAAAACACAATAAAATGAAAAATTCCAAAATTAAAAATTATATAATTTAAAAATTTATTTATAATAAAACAAAAATTAGTAATAAAATTTAAAGTAGAAAAAAAATTTATTTAATTGATTTTAAATTTTTCAATGGTGAAAAATTAATATTTTTAATATAAACAAAATACAATTTGAATAAAGTATTAGTGTTGCTGTAAAGCTAGACTTACTTTGTATAGTGACAAAGAAGCTTTATTAAATTTTAGAAGGGTTTTCGAATAACAAAGAAAGAAATAAAGGACAAACACAAAAATTTATTTTTAATTTTATTGAAATTTGGCTGACCATACAACGAAAGAAATAAAGGACAAACACAAAAATTCTAAGCCTGGCACTTGCAGTCCAAACAAATTATATACGGACTATAAACTAATTAAATAAAATTCGATTATTCCCAAAGACCACTGATGAAGAGTACTTGGCAATACTCGAAACAGCGTTGTATGGTCAGCCAAACTTCAATAAAATTAAAAATAAATTTTTGTTTGTCCTTTATTTCTTTCTTTGTTATTCGAAAACCCTTCTAATAAAATACAATAAAATAATACCAAAATTAAAATTTATATATAAATTTGTTTAAAAAAATTTTATATGATAAAAAAAAATTGAACATTTAAAAATTTATTAAAATTCCTTAATAACAAAAAAAAAAAATAAATTAAATTTAAAAAAAAATTTATTTAATAATTTTTAAATTTTCCAATGGTGAAAAATTAATACATATATATGAAATAAAAATATTAGTTGAAAATAAAATTACTCTAAGATAAAAAAACAAAAAATTAATATTTTTTAAAAATAAAATTGGTGGACTCATGCGTTAATGTGCAATTATATTTTCCAATATTTAGTTTTTTTGGTATAATATATATAAAAAAATTCTCTGAATTACATAAAGCAATCAAATATTTAAAACTAAGTAATTTCCAAAAATTTCAATACTTACTCAAACATATTTACGAATTTTTTACAAGTCTTTGAGATTAAAATTTATTGTGCAACATATAAGAAAAAATTCTTAAATTATTCCAACTAAGGTGTATGTGTATGTGTGAATTAAATGTTACTAAATCTTACAAGCAAGCAAACTAATATATTTTTACAAATGAAAAAAAAACAAAATAAAGAAACTATTTTAGAGTTGAAGTGCACAACAAAAACACAATCCTACATTTTACTTCAGTTTTTTCTAAGGTGTTTTAATTTAAATTTTTTCTTTAATATTTATCTTTGAAATTAAATTAAAACTCAAATTAGCAATTACTTGCGTTCAGACAAAAGAAATAATTTGGTTGTTTTTTTTTCGTTTTCAATAACAGAAAAATACAATTGCACTTACAAGAGGTCGTCCCCAATACCATGATTTGACACGTTGTGTTAAACCACCCAAATGTGAACGTAGTCCATCTAAGTATCCTCCCTGAAATGCAAACAAATATAACAAAAGGACCAACCCAAGATGAAATAAAAATAATTTTTTAGGAAAAATAACAAGAAAGAATAGAAAACACGTAATGAAACAATATGAAATATTTACTGTACACTATAATAATAACAATAATAATAAATAATTGTTATACAAAACTAAAAGAAATGGTACTAGAAAGAAACAGTTACTTATATATAACACTAATGCTCCTTGATAATATCAAGGATAAGATGAAGGATAGTTATAAATAGTTGAAGCAAGTAAATTACATTAGTAATAGGAAAAAGGCGTCTTAGTCAGGTATATATTGTATAACTATTTTCAAAAGGAATTTATTTATACGGGGCAATTTTGAAATACTTTAATAATGTATAATAAATTAAAATAAATAAAATTAAATTCTATTATCTAAATTAAATTAAATTCTATTAATCTTTATTATTTACTTAAAAATAAGTAAAAGTAATATATGTGTTACTATTATTCTATATGACTATATCTCTATTGACTATTTTTGCTATATTCTCCATTAATTGACAAAAGTTTGTTTCTTAAGTCTTTTGTTTTTCTACACTATTTACTATGAAATGCTTAATGGGAACCTTCTAAAAATGTATCTTTAGTTGACTAATTGAAATCATTATAATTCTACTCTCAGATTGTTTATACTAAAATGATTTTTAGTGTTTTTATGATGCGTGTTTTTATGTTTATAAAGTTTTTATGTTTGCGTTTGTATTGTGAACATTTTCAACGTACTCATTTTATGTGTGGCTTCGTTGCTAAAGATACAAGAAAGGTCTATTGTAGCCGAAATCCTTTAGCATGTTTGATAAATGTTTTAATTGTTATCCCTTCATGTTATTTTGTTTGATATTTAGCAGAATAGCTCATACTTGTTTTAGTTAATAGGAGGCAAAAATAATAATTGGAAAAATAGCACAAATTACTTAAAATAATTGACACTAAGCTTACCTGTTCCTATTAACATTTATTTCATTTATCATTTGCGGCATGAAAAGAAAAGAATAATACAAATTTATTTTTATTTATAAATTAATATAATTTTTAAATATTTTTATAAATGAGTAAATATTTGTTCAATGTATTTTTTATAACAAATTTATATTTAAGAGAATTTATATAGAATAATATTAGTCCTTTTTTAGTTTCTAAGGTAGTTTATTTAAAAGATAGTTGTTATTGCTATAGGCGGCGTTCTTTTTATGTATATTATAAATAAGTATATCACATTTTCATATTTAATGTATGGAAATACAAATGAAGTGATTATAATTTACAAATGTTTTCTAATCAATAATTATTATAAAAGATCCTTCTTTTCCAAATTAAGAAATCAAAAATAAACTAGAACCAATTCTTATTAAAATTATTTTAATCTTAAACCATGTATACGAAAAAGTTTTTTGTACTATTTTGGAGTACTTCGCCCAATTTTACAATCCAAACTTAATTATCAATTTCACATTAAAGCTATATTCATAGTCTGACTTCACTGTATGCCTATATTACTAGACTTTGGCGAGATGTTAATATTCAAACAGAAATATATATTTTTTAAAATTTGTCTTCAAATAAAAATTTGTATATTTTAATAAAAAACACAGTGTATTCAAAAATCTTGGCCATAGTGAAATCAGTGTAGATGTGAAGCTAGTACCAAATTTTAAACATTTAAGCTTTATTTAACTTACATTAAGACCGAAAACGTGGTCCTCGAAAATTCGGATTTAACCTTCGAAAATAAAGATTTTTCTCAGAGTTGGTAAAACTAAAAGCCCTTTGGCAGTTAGCTACTATTGGTGCATTTTTAAAGTAGATTTGTTCAAAAGATCTATTGAGTTCAGAAAAGCTGAAGCAAGTCTGCAGCTAATTTTATTTTATTACTAATTAATTCTTACAAACAAAAAATTAGTAAATTTTAAGAAAATTGTTGTCAACATCAAATACAAAATAAGTTTTAACACTACTGAAAAATAATTAGTATGAAGAAAATATTAATAAAAATATTCATTATTATGATGATGAAATTAGTTGCTTCTCTTTTTTGGAATATTTGCAAAGTATACTTTAACAACCCAGCCTAGCCTCTCATGATCTCATATATGACCTAAAACACTGGTCAGTTATTTTATATAATATATTCGTTAAAAGTATTTATTCCTCTTTCATAATAAAGGCGTCATCCAATTGAAATAAAGGGTTCTTGAGTCCATTCGTTAAATTCAAAAAATCTTTAATAACTTAATAGAAAGTTATTTTTTAAAGAAACACGATTTTGTTTTCTTTTTCATGTTTTCTATTAATTTTTTATATACTTCCTCTTGCAAATCTTGTAAAATTATAATATTAATGTAATGTTTATTATTTATTTGACGTGTTATATAGAGATATTGGCTGTATCACAACATTTTTGAAGGCCATTTCAGTTGCTATCATTGTGACAGCTTAATGTTAATTTTTTTCTGCAGTATTCGATAAATCCTTATTATTCATATAACGAATGAAGAAGAATAAATGGTTAAACGATAGAAGTTTTAGTTAAATTATACATTCTTTAAATTGTGATAACAAATTTATATTGAATATTACACTATTCAATATGAATTCTGTTCAACTACTGATTTATGAGCCCTACAATAATACGATCATAACTACTAAATTGGTTACTTTATATGATCTCGAAAATAGTACGATAGATATTTTTTTGTCATTTTCAAATTTTCTTTTATCGTGGCTTAAACGCTGAATATGTTATCTGGAGTTTATAAATATCATTTTCATTTGAAATATACATTATTTTAAAATGTATTTACAGTGACTACTAACACTTATCTATTTTTACTATACCATATATATATATATATATATGTATATATATATTGGTTGAATATAGAAATATTATTCACTACGGTAACTTATCTTGAACACAAAAATGTAAAGCAAAAGATAATATACAGTTTGAGAAACCTCTTAAGATTTAAAAAATGCAATAATGTGGAGAAAAATATCGGAAAAGACGTAAGCTATATCTTTGCTTTACTGTTGATGAACTATTCAATTTCAAGAAATGATGATTGTGGTGGTTTATTAATATTCACGGTTCCAACGTTATAGACAGAAATGAAGTATTGAATGGAATAATTTTTTCATAATACTTAAATCTGAAGTCATAAAATATATTTATTTAATGTTTTTGTATTTCTTATTTCATATTAAAGTTTTTTTTTAATTTGTTGAAAAAATCTATTAAAATTTTCGATCAACAGGCGTTGATAAATAAATAAAGGAATATATTTGCTTTCAATAAAACTTCTGGAGCAACTTGATAACTTTTTAGGGTTTCTACATAAAAATTTTATTTTTTTATTCTACAGTCTAAATTATGTGGTTACTAATAGCGAATACTTGCATACACAGCGTCCTGTGCAATTTATATTTTGTTTACAGCTCAGGTTTAGATAAATTGATTATAATTAGATAACATTTGTAATCGAAACAAATGCAACAAACGATACAGAAAAACGTGAATGATTAAAATGGTTTGAATATGTTTGGCTCTGATATAATTAAGGATTTTTGATTGTACACATTAAGTAAACATAAGCAGGTTCTTAAACTCCTAATGGAGTAAAAATAAAAACTATTCTTCAAAGTCATTGTAAAATATTTCATATTTTTATATTATGATTACTTATGAGTGACAACTATTAAGTTTTTTGTATTAATTGATAATAATTTTCATAAATTCAAAAATGACGAAAATTAATTTTAGTGGAATGTGATTCCATATAAATCTTGCTAGCATATGGAAAGACTTAAATGAACTGCAACTAGGTAGCAGATTCGGTTTAATCATAGTTCATGTGAAAACACACAGTTGTGAGCATCCAAAGGTAGTGTCTGTGGATTAATATACTTTTGAAAAAAAATCAAATATTATTTATATATCTTATTTATATATCTCCAACTAAACTATTATTATTTTACATGTATTAAAAATATATATGATATGACTGTCTATCGGTGTTAGTAGTTTCTCCCTTTGTCCCTCTCTTCTAGGTATACCCATGCAAACAGCGTATTTTTATTTTTAAAAAAATGTCTACCAACTATATATTATAACAAGTGGTAATATTTATTTTTAAAAACAATCAAAATAAAGATAAAAAACTGAAATGTGAAAGTCCGATGAACTCACCGCAGTACTGAGTGATTTAAGTTTAAATGTTAGTAATTGATCACACAAAGGCTATGCTACTTAAACGATTGAAAGTTATTATTGAGATTTTATTGAAATTTTAGAGAAATAAATTTATTGTATATAAATAAAATAAAAACAAAAGATCTCTAATTAGTAGTGCAACACAATATAATTATAATAATAAATAATATATTGAACTCTGCAGTAAGATATTTTATTATAACGCCCAGAAGTTTTTAAAGAAATTTAATTTTTATTCGTGTCATTTTTGCCTTCCAACTGATTAAATGATGTTTAATGATCATAATAATTTTTATTAAAAAATATTTATACTCATAATAAATAGCTGAAAATGATGTCCAACAGTTTTGAAGCACTAATAAAAAAATTTAATGATACGTATGATCACTGCCAATCATTATTGTTCCAAGCAAACCTAGGCAATGCCTGGTACTCATAATATTGAATAGCCACATTGTGAGTTTTACACTTTTACAAGAAAAAACTATGTTATTTTCTTTAAATATTAAGAAAGCAGTGGAGCTTATAATATACGCTGTCAGCAGATACTCGTGTTATGAAAAAAAATAAAAATATTTTATACCGAAAAGCCAAACAAACAATTTGCAAGAGTACAAGTATCTTAAAATAAAATAACTACACCCAGTTGAACTTATTTGGTTTATGTTTGTTTATATTTGCAATTTTGTGAAAAGACTTTTCCATTATATGTATTTTTACCAATTTTAAATTTTAGT